CGGTTATGTCTCAAATGCACTTTACTTAACTGTCATTTAAAAACCTCCGCAGAAACCACCTTGTGTTTACTGGACCAAAGTGCAAAGTCGTGATTCCATCCAATTTAACATAACGTGGCCTTCACACGGCTGTGGTGCAAGTTTGTATAATAAAAAGATGCTTCCCTCCAAAAAAACTCCAGCAAATGACAAAGTTGCCCTAACTCGTCAATGCATACCAGAAGTCATTGCCTGGCATGGTAGGAGTCCGCAACGGAGGAAGAAAGGGAGGAGAAGGAAGAAAAAACTAGGTATGGGTCAACCTAAACCACTAACCTACCCAATTGAATACTCAAGAAGCCATACATGTTGCAGATCTTTACAAATTCAACCTACCCAATTAAAAAATTGCAGATTTTTGCACCGATAACAGTTGGGTTTGATTGTGGGAGGTGGCTATGGTGGTTGTGGATTGTGGAAAGTGAATTGGGTTTGATTATGGATGGTGAAAAATGAATTGGGTTGATTATATATATGGTGAAGAATGAATTGGGTGGTGCCCATAGTGGCTGTGGGTGGTGATCGCGTGTGTTGTGAACGACATCTATCGTTATTTGGGTGTGGGTGGAAGGATTGGAGAACAGGAGAAATCAAGAACAATGAAAATTGTTTTGTTCCAATGGTACTTAATTTCTTTTTTCCTCTTCTTTTCAATTTCCTTCTTGTTCTCAATTATGATTGTTGAACTTGAGAACGAGGTGGCTGCTGGGTGACTTTGGTTGGCATGGTGTAATCACTATTGTGGCGGCGTAGGCATTGCCGGAGCAAGGGGATACGGAGTCTGTTGAAGAAGAAGATAGAGGGAAGGGTATTAATGTCATTTTACTGGTGCTGTTAACGAAGTAAGGATTGCAGTTTAGTCCACAACCTATGCGAGGGTTATGTGGAGCAGGTGGTAAAATGAAGTTTGCCCGAAATTTTAATAGGCTTTGAGAGACAAAATGTAATCAACAGCATCCTTCATGTACGGAAAGTATGCCACATTGGGTACACAAATCCGTAGTCTGATCCAAGCTCCAAAAGAATGAATTCAGAGACATCAACTACTTAAATCAACAGCACGAAAATCACTAGTTCAAAAGCTAAACCGCTGATCACCTCAATAGAGTGATCTCCATTTACACCATGGCTTTCATATCTGCAAACCATTCTCTCGTTGAACTAGTACACTACGACACAAACTTAACTTCACTAGTTGCATTACAAAGTTAATCATTTCTTTGATTCACAACTACAAAGCCATTTTGTCAATCTCGAGTGGCAAGTTGAAAGCACAAAACAATAATGGTTAATCGGTTAATCAACCTTACAGCGACGTTTAAAACACTCTGGACAAACTGAAAAAGCAGGAGTAAGAATTAGGCAATATACCTAGAGATTCTTTACAACTATACCCACATGCCCCTAAGCTAGGACGCTAGAGACTGGAATTATGATGGCATCTGATTTACCAGGTTCAACAATCCTTGAACTAATTTCAGACAGGTCCTATCCTAGTTAATACAGCAGAACATGTTCTGAATCCATTCTTGTGTTAATTTTTTTCAATAGGATATGAAAATTTTTGTTAATAAGTAAAGTAATTCACATAAAAAATGGTTTGATAAGAAATCCAACCAATTTAACTAATGAAAAGTTAAAGTTCACTCAAAGCATCAACAACAATGCTGAATGATGCTAAAGAAGCAAAAATTCTAGATTACACAACTGCACTGCCCGAAAGGTGTTTAATATAACCGCAACACAGATGGATATAATTCAGCCTACTGTATTTTCTTATTGTGGGACATTATACGCTGGTTTAAACTTATTTTTTCACTGTTTCTTTTTCATCTTCGTCTTTTAGTAATTTGTGAATGATTCGGGGATGGACAACTTGTCCCCCTGTTTTCTCTCTTATGTAACTCGTCAAAATCAATAAAGTATTTTGTTCCTCGTCAAAATAAGAATACAGTTAAACACCCCATTCTCATTACTGCTAGAGTAGGATAAGTCTTTGTATTAAGGGAAAGTGTTTTCCTGTCTATATGGAATCCTCTTGGGTGTTCTCCTTTTCGATATTTCAAAGATAATGAGCCAAAGCCATTGGAGTACAATGGCAATGAGCTAAAATGGTTGGGTGGGTGTATTAGGAATGCTCGAGTATTAGCCTCACGTGCATTCTTAAAACCATCCCACAAACTTGCACAAACTTCATTTATTCAAAAAGATTAGAAGAATGCTGGTCTCATACACAATTATAATGTATAAAGAAGCAAACAACTGGAGAACATAAAATGTAAATGATATACAGTAGTAAGAATAAGAATCAAAGCCCAAGATATTGGTGAGACTGGTGATAGGAGACTATCCAGATTGGTTTAGACAGCACTTGTTTGGTTAAAATGTTGTGGCCTAAATGTTGAACTATTGACACTCATTGTTTAGATGGGTGTTAACCCAAATGTGTTCCCCGACTGCATGCGTACAAATGCAAGTTGCAATATGGCAAATTTCATTAAGAGACATCAGCAAAGAAAAGTAAAACAGCTTAACATTTTATTGTGTATTTGGATGATTGTGCTCGGGCTAACGAGTGTCCACATGAGAACGTTGAACTGTCTACAGCTTGTAGTCGTATTTTATCTTCTGTCAAGTGTTCGGATCACTCCACCATGATTCTTATTATCCCAATTTATATTATAAACAAGCTCAAAGGACCGGACAAAGAAGAGATGTTAGAGTGGTATTTTTCCTATTGTTCTATTTCCTGTAGTTTTACTTTCCTATTATGTTACTTTCTTCTTGTTCTACCTGCCTATTATGTTTCTACTTTCCTAATATTATAATTATCTTCAATACCAATCAAATATCAATCTAATATAATAGGTGAAAGGGTGTAGGCAATACACACCCTACACAGAATATTGTGCATAATCCCTTTCTTCCTCTATTCTTTTTGTTTTCTTTCTTTTCCTAAACCTTAATATTCACTAATTATTCAAGTTTCAACTAGAGGCACCACAAGTCTTTGAAAACCATCAAGTCCTTTGGACAAACGGAATCCCCTGAAGCATGAGTACCATTCTTGTTGAAAATTTTCCCTCAAGATTACCATCCCTTTGAGATGGCGACTAGATTAGAAGAGGCCATCACACAGTTGGAAAGAACCTTCACCCTCATCTCACAAGAATCTCACGACACCAATAGAACAGAACACAAAAAAATATTGTCAATAAGACTACCTGATGAATGCCCAGAGTGCAATACCACAACTATCATGCACACAAGAACAGTAACAAGAAATTATCAACTATAAGACACTATAAAAATGAGAAGCATATAGTCATGCTTTAATTTCAGCTATCCAATTAACCTTCATAAAATAAATTTAAAAAAGAAAAAACCGGTAAAGACATAAAACTCATGGCTTTTTTTACTATCATTTTATTCTCATAAATATGCACAAAATAAACAAGTTTGAACAAGCTATCAAAGGCAGAATAATTAGAAATACTTATTAGACAGCCAAAGTTCAATAAAAAAAAAAGGGGTGAGAAATCTAAACAGAATGCAAGTACCAACTACACAGTATTAATTGTTGATCAATGACCAACAAATCTATAAACCAACCAAAGAAAATATAAAATCCAAAAACTCCACAAACTTACAACAACTCGCATCCAAAACATAACCTTCCATCACCTCCCCATTGACCTCAGCCCCTCCAATTGACCCTTAATTTGATCCTGCACCAATTCCAACCGCTTCGAATAAACCTCCAACTCCAAAATCTGCTGCTCCCTCCATTTCTCACCTGCCGCACCCCTTCCTCCCACTATATCCATCTGCCCACCAAAATCCAATGGCATCAGACTCAATCCCATCCCAAACCCTCGCAAACCCCCTGGCCTATTCATCACATTGTTTACCAGCTCCTTGAACAATGGTGATACACAACTCCTCACAGTCTCCTCAATCAAATTCTTTGGAATAGGTGGTGAGGCCGTGGTCGTGGCCACACCCACACCCACTGGTTGTGGATTAATTCCATGATCATCCTCAACTTTAACACCGCCACTACAACCACCTCCTCCTCCTCGTGATCTTTTTCGTGAACTGGAGATCTTTTTCTCCGAGGTATGATTACAATTACCAACTATAAGATACCCAGTATCAATATTCTGATCAATCAAATTGGGGTTAGAGTTAGTGTTAGGCTTAGGCTTAGGGTGAGGATTAGGAACAGGGCTTGTATCATCATCATCAATTCCGCCACCAGCTCCACGATTCAAAGACACTCCGCTCCATATCCTCTGAGAGATCTCAAAAGTGGCCTGGTCGTGTGGGCTCTTGAACACACATTCCTTACCCGACTCGATTCGATTCAACACGTTCCGGTATTTCTTCTTGAGCCTTCTCAATTTCTCCACCAACTGGTTCTTGTTGAACTCCAGCTGCAATTTGCTCTTGATCTGGTCGTAAAACGCCGTCGTATCGGGATGGGAGGAAGAATTGTGGGTCCCACTTCGACTCGTGTTGTACTCTAGGAAGCCTCGTAAGAGCTCGATTTCGTCCTCGTCGGTCCAGAGCCGTTGGAAGAGTCGTCGGGACTCGTCCATTGGTAATGGCTTCTGTCTCTCTTCGACGACGGTGGTGGCGGCGGCGGCGGTGATGCTGACGTCATTTATACGGCGATGTTTTGGATTGGGGAGGGTGGATTGGGTGGGATCACCGGCGGCGGCGAGGGCAACAGTGACTACGGCAGATGAGGTTGGTGGATTAGGAGGAAGGGGGTATGCATCGACGGTAGCGAAGTTGGAGGAGGAGGTGGAGTTGGATTCGTCGTAGACATCGACGTCAACGTCTTCGTCTTCATCGTAGACGACGTCGTTTGGGTGGGCTAGGTGGTCCTCGTCTAGGCTTTCTTCGTCTTCGTCGAGGTCGTCTTCGTTGTAGACCGTGTGGTCTTCTTCGGAAGCCATAGACGGAGAGATGGGGTTGGAGGGTGGCAGAGGGGGTAGTGTGAGCCAAGGTCAATGGTTTGGTAAGGGTCAGGGACTCAGGTTTGGGTTAAACGGGGTGGTGTGTGGTGGTTAGGCGCCGATGGTAAAGGGTTCACGAGTTGAGTGTAAGACAGGGTTGGGGGTTGAATGGTTCGCCCGATCAGGATACTGACACGTGACTTGTCCACGAACTAATTGGTTCTCACGTGATTTCTGACTCCCTGTTGCTTTGGGCATATTATATTCAAGTTTATCAATTTTCTACACCGTTGGGTATATTAGAGCAAATTTGATGGTACTACATAATACAAGAATGAGTTTGGTGATCTAAATCATGCTATCCAGCTTGGAAGCTAAGCTCATCAATATTATTTATAGACCTCGATTTTAGACCTCAACTCTCCGTGTCAATATCTCCAGGAAGCTTGTGTAAAGGACAACTAGATCCCATCAAGTCGTCCTTTTTTCTTGACGTCAATCACCTAACACGCACAAGTCTCGTTGCGCAATGAAAGACAATCATTACAAGGGAAGGACGAGGATCTCGCTCTAGATCAAACGAATCTCAGAAATAACTATAAATAGGAGAGCCAAGAGAGCCTTAAAAAAAGACTCTCTCTGAAAATCATAGACAATTATTAATAGATTCAAAAGCAAGAGACTCCCTTAAGAGTGGATTATTTGAGCTCCCAAGCTGGTGAACCACTATAAACACTATACGTAATCATCAATTAATCCCAAAAAATCCTATTCCTTAGAGCCTCGGAGTGCAGACTGAACTATTCAGTGCACCTTATATACATACCTCTGTCAAATTGCGTTAATAACATTATCAGTTGACACCGTCTGTGGAAAACATTGTTTTCTGTTGAAAAAATATATTAATTTTTTTCAGTAATTGATGGTTTCTACACACAATATGAGCAGAGAACAAACGAATCTTCCTTAATTACAGAACCAACAGGAAGCTACAACTAGGAGGCAGCAAGAAAATCTCCATGATTTTTAGCCTACACCTGAAGTCAATCCCCCCCCATAGTGAATCTCATACCTAACAGCGAATTGGAGGCCCTTCACCTAGCTAGTCAACGTCTTCTCTAACAGAATGAGGAGTTGCTAAATATCCTTCAACATCCACAAAGAGTGCAATTAGTCTAAGATGATCCCCCTCAGAGGGAACAACAACACAACAATCCCATAAAAGACATCACCAAGAGAGATGAGCACAGCCAAATTGTGAGAAATGCTCATCGTTGAATTCGTAGCAATAAGGATGACCAAGAAGTGCAAAATCAAAATAGGAAAGCTTGTAATAATGAATTTTCTCCATTTTAACAAGAAATGAAAGAACAATATTGGGAACAACGCTTCAAAGACATTCAACAGGAGCTTAACCACATGAAGGAGACTGTTAAAAACAAAACTCTAGTGACTATGGATGTCTTACTTGAACAAACTAAGTCCCCATTCACCGCATAGGTGTTTCACTTTCCACTCCAACCTAAATTCACAATGCCCCAGATAGAGGCCTTTGATGGACAAAAAATCTTATGGACCATCTCAACACCTACAAGAATCAAATAGAACTACATAGGTACTAGGACCCGACACGATGCCTGGCCTTTGCCATCACTTTAAAAGGTTCAGTCCTGGCATGGTTTAATAGGTTGTCCCCAACATCCATCTCATCATTTAAAGAGCTTTATGTCTCCTTTGGATCACAATTCATAGGAGCTCGGACTTATCGAAAATCGAGTTATCACCTGTTGAATGTGAAATAGGGACCCAATGAAAGCCTGCAGAGTTATGTTCAATAGTTCAACTCAAAATCCTTGAAAATGGATGTCTTTGACTAGAAATTCGTCATCACCGCCTTTATTGCAGGGTTGGGAATCCAGTCAAAAGACCTAATGTTCTCTATCTCCAAAAACCCGTAAGCCAGTATGGCAGAAATTCTCGCCAAGGCAGAAAAATATATCAACGGCAAAGAAGCACTCCTCTCCAAGGTAGGAAACACGTCCACGCACAAGGAGAAGGAGAAGAAAAGAGGCCGAAGTCCCAGAAAGGAAAGAAGTAGAGATATCTCCACGAAGAGACAGGGAATGCTCTCCGAAAAGGAAAAGAGACGTTAGAGACCGCCTTGGTCCACCACTGTTGGAACTACAACCAAGATTTGCACCTTGACAATACACTCCCCCTTACAGCCACTGTGTCCTAGGTCCTTTTTGAGATATAGAACGAAAAATTCCTGAAGTGGCCACCTCGAATAAAGGCAGGTCCCACAAAAAGGGGCGCAACGAAATATTGCAAATACCATAAGGACCACAACCATCTCATTGATGACTATATCCAATTGAAGAAGGAGATTGAGTTCCTGATCCAATGGGGACAATTGCGCCACTTTGTGACGCAAGACAATCAGAACCAAGCTCAACCACCTCCAGCACCTCAGTAGCAAGTCCTTACGCAACATCAACAACCTCTAGGAGAGATCATAGTGATATTTGGAGGATTCGCTGGAGGCGGGGAGTCCAGCTCAGCTAGCAAGGCGCACATGCATAAAGTCAGAACTGACGAGATGTTTGAAAGTACACACTGTATCCAAAACACCTCGGCTAAACATGTACATCACTTTCTTAGATATAGACTTGGAGGGATGCCAGCATCCCAACGATGACCCCTTGGTGGTAAGAGTCATCATCGCCAACAGAACCATCCATTGAGTCCTGATTGACAACGGGGAGCTCTGCTAATATCATCTTCGCATCTACCTTCGACAAGATGGATATAGACAAAGATAAACTTGAGCCAGTAAGGACTCACCTATTGGGATTCTTAGGGGAAAAAATACTACCTATGGGTTCAATCCAAACTTGTGCTCACTATGGGAGATCCCCTCGTCAATCCACCACCACTGTGAGGTTCCTAGTGGTCGATGCACCTTCAGCATACAACATTTTGCTAGGACGACCTTCATTCAACGCCATGAGGGCAATTTCTTCTGCCTACCATCTCGTCATCAAGTTCCCTACGAAAAACAAAATCGGAGTGGTTTGAAGGGACCAACGTGCAACACGAGAGTGTTATATGGCGTCCATGAAAAAGAAAGAGGTTGAGAGTATCTAACTAAACGAGCTCGATATGAAAGACGAGTTGGAAACCAGGCCAATAACCTCAGAAGAACTAGAGCCTATTCAGCTTGACGAGAAGTCAGAACACCTAGTATACGTGGGATTTAAGCTAAACAAGAAAGTTAAATATCTCCTGATTCAATTCCTAATAAGAAATATGGAGGTGTTTACCTAGAAACCAGAGGATATGCAAGGAATTGACTCCTCAGTCATCACACACAAGCTCAACGTGAATCCGACCTTCAAGCCCATCAAACAGAAAGCCAGTGTAAGGACAAACAATATTTACCAAATAAAGAATTTGATACAGATGAATGTGCTAATTTTTCAGTAAGCCAGTGTAAGGCAGAACAATGAGTACATGTTCGATTCATCAAGCCGAGGAAATGACAATCTGAAATTTCATATCCTCAAGGATCAAGTGTAACACTCATAGATGCACCTTCTTCTTCTACGTATGCACTACATATCAAATTTAGATGTCATACAATTGGTTCATATAAATTGAATACAAACTTAAAACAACAACATGAATAAGACAACAATAGTGAGAATAAGACATTATAAATTATAATAAACACCCGTTGCCTTCATTCGGATTAGGAGTTTGTTGAAACATGTTTATCACATACGATGGTTATGAGGAACGCAGGGAAAGTGGTTTCAAGGGTGTGGTTGTGTTTCTGTCAAGGTTTTGAGGAGGAAATTATAGGAGCATTGTAGTCATAAACGACACTCCTGAGACATTTGGTGGCCCAACAACTGGTATTTCCATGGAACACCGAGAGAATGGCTGCAATCGTGTTGGTGTTCTTTCGATTAGGTTTTGAGGAGGATCTTTTTGAATCATGATGGGCATAGACAATAGCCCTGAAACATTTTATTTTGGTGTCTTGATCAAGATTTTGGAGCATGGTGGTCGACAATGACCCTAAGACATTTGTTTATGCTGGTGTGCCTTCGATCAAGTTTTGAGGAGGATCTTCTAGAAAGATGATGGGCACTAACAACAATTCTGAAACATTCGTTGTGGTGTATTCGTCAAGATGCTGGTGTATGATGGTCGACCATGATTCTAAGACATTTGTTCGCATTGGTGTGCCTTCGATTAGGTCTGGAGAAGGATATTCTTGAATCGTGATAGGTACATATAACAACCCTGAAACATTTGTTGAGGTGTTTTCATCAAGAGTTTGGAGCACGGTGGTGGACAATGAATTCAAGTCAGTTGTAGTCACTATACTTTCTAATAAAGGATGGACTAGTTCCATAGGGAAAGTCATTGATTGAAGGCAGGACCGGTTATTTGATTCTCGTCTTAGGCATGCTAGGCGACGACAACTCCGTGGTAAAGAAGGAAAAAATCTAGGCTAAACAGGGGCGCATTGTCTTGATCTCTCTCATTCTTGACATGCACGTTCTCCCAATTGACGTTTGAAGCATGCATTTTCTTTCTCGACATAACACATTTCTGACTCAAGACTTGCACATTGTAGCAAGATTGCTTTTGATATAACATTATTGCTTGGTGCCTAAAACAAAAAATAATTATTAAACGTATCTCTTATCGTAGTAATACCTTATCATTTCTTATAATTATGTAGGTAACATATATATATATATATATATATATATATATATATATATAATTAATGTAAGCTACTGTAAACCATTCGAGCACTATTATGTTATAAATTTGTTGCTTAAACGTATCTCTTCTCTTAATATGTTTAAATCCATAATTGTTTACCAAATATCCTGTCTAACTTCATAATTATAATAAGATAAACTACTTTATACAGTCATAAATTAAAATAATGGATTTTTACAAATAATCATATGATCTGCACTCATGATGATTTATTATTGGACCACATTATGCAACAAAAAAACAAACAAAATGAGAAAAAATTGTTAAAATCTTTACGACTAAATATCCAACAACATTCAACGGTAAGGATTGACTAACTTGATACACACATGTTGTTATCTTTAAAACAATTTTGACAAAGCGTTCTTTTGAAAACTGATCCAATTGACAATATTAACCTGTGTGTACAACTCATAATGTTTGTAGGTGTCTACATTAAGGATGTTGACCCTCGCAGTTTCAATCTATACAGTCATTTGGATCCAACCTTATATACAATCTATTATTAGGATCAAACACACACAAAAGCTCCAAAAAATGTCATGTAAATGGAGTAAACATCATTAAGGACCCAAAATTGACCCAAAAAGCTTCATTATTTGCACTGAACTAAAGCTAAAATTTTTTTTAAAAAAAATCATAAACATCTTTATACATATGAACCATAGAGAAAAAATAAGATGAAAAGTTATATCAATTGACAAACTGTACTTTTTGTTCATTTGTTAGAAGATGTAGCTTTTTCTTTCCCCTTAGATCTGACATTCGTCATTGAATTTGATATTTTTTCCTCCTTTAATAAAAAAAAAAAACAATGCATATAATATAAGAAAACGCTAATAACAAAAATTGAATTTGTCATGTAAATGGAGTAAACATCATTAAGGAATAAAAATTGACACGAAAGTTTCATTATTTGCATTAATCCGAAGCTAAAAAAACTATAACAGTCGAAAACACCCAAACAATAACATTCAAACAATAATATTAAAGTTACAACAAAACTTATCAAACCTATTCGAAAAAACAATCAAATTAACACCCAACGTTAGAGTGCAAAATTGATATAAAATTGTTTATGGACCAATCTAAAAATTGTTTTACAAACTTTTAGTTTTTAAAAATAAATAATTGACTAAAAAAATTGAGTGTTATATCTCTCTCTCTCCCTCCCTCCCTCCCTCCTCATTTAGTGTAGCATTCATATACCAAAATAGATTAAAAACTTCACTTAAAAAAATCTATAGTGGACCAAAATCAAGTGAAAGAAATTATGAAAGAACCTACCTGTAGAGAGCCCGAAATGTGATTTAATGAGAATTCTCTCTCTGATACACACATGAAATCTTAATTTAATGAGAATTTACATTAGACATGTGCTCTAAGTTTCAATTCTTCTTAGGAGTGACCAAAGAAAAGGTTATGCATAGATCTTTATCAGACATCTTTTATAAGCTATTGCCAATTCAAAATTTATCGAACTTATTTGAAAAAATATAACATTTTTTTTTGGGTCATGAAAATAACTTAAATATTAATACTCCAACTTGCAGTTACAGAATATATATGTCAACCTATACCATTCCTTTTCTCCTTCCTAAGTACATTCATAAGAAAATCAAGGGGGTTAACTAACTCTTGAGGGATGGAAATTCCTCTTCTAGCTTGAGTTGCTAATGGGTGCATATTTTGCGATCTCCTCGCGAACTGTAGTTGGACCAAAGGTATTTGCTGCAGGTACTGCCAAATATCCTTCTGGATAGATGCTATCTCCCTAATAGGAGCTTCAGGGCCTTTACTCAATGAGTCCATAAGGTACTTAGCATCAGACTCAATCACTACTGCTTGGTACCCATGCTCTAGTGCTATTCTGGAGGCTTTTCTTAAGGCTCTTCTTACTGCATATGCTTCTGTGACTATAGCAGACAAGGCCCCCACTGTTTGTGCTTCACCAGTGATCCTTGAGCCCTCATGATTTCGCACCACAATTCCATAAGCTCCTTCCTTAGCCTTCGCTTGATATGCTTCATCACAATTAATCTTCACCCACTTATTAGGAGGAGGCATCCAGTTAGGTTCTGCACATTTTAGAATACTTTCATGTACCTGCTTTCCGCTACTGTTATGCATTTCTTCAATTCCCATCACAGCTCTAATAATAACAGACTTACTGTTAGGTTTGCAATGACTATAAATCCATTCATTCCCGCCTTCCAAGAAAACCAACAAAAGTAGGCTATCATTGCATTTATCTTGAAGCTGATTCATAAGCCAGTCCTCCATTTATCTTGAAAAAATATAACATTCAAAACACCCAAATTAACACCAAAACTATAACATTCGAACCAATTAAACATTCAAAAAACTCAAACTATAATATTTAAACCAATTGAATATTCAAAACAATTGAACATTTAATTTGTTAAATTTATTTGAAAAAAAAAATCCAAATTAACACAATTAGCACCAAAACTATAACATTCGAACCAATTGAAGATTCAAAAATCTAAATTATAACATTCAAACCAATTGAACATTCAAAAAAATTTAACATTCAATTTGTTAAATTTATTTGAAAAAAAAACACTCAAATTAAAACCAAAATCATCAAATCAATTTATGTGTGTGTGCTGATGTGTGCGATGTGTTTGCTGGTGTGTATGGTGTGTGCGCGATATGTGTGTGTTGTTGTGTGTGAACAATTTAACATTCAATTTTGTTAAATTTGTTTGAAAAAAAAAATCCAAGTTTTCAAACCAAAATGAAGACTCAAACTAAAACCAAAATATCAAATCAATTTATGTGTGTGTGCACGGTGTGTTTCTAGTGTGTGTGTGGGTTCAATATATGCTGGTGTGTGTGGGTTTTATGTTGTGTGTGTTTTTTACTGTGTGTCGTGAGAGAGAGAGAGAGAAATCGAGAGATAGGTGTGCCTGGGCAATAGAGGAGATCTTTGAAGTTGGTTTAGCCATGGCAGAGGAGGAGTTCTTTATGTGTGTGAGAGAGAGAGATGGACGCCTGGGATGGGTCAGTTGGGTTTTGCTTTTCTTACGGGATAGATGGTGGGTCATTTAATATAATTAGATGAGTTTAGATGAAATTTAAACCGTTTATTTAAATTTTAATTAAATCTTATCTGTTGTTCTTTTTTTTTTAAATCGGAAGAGTTGATTTCGATTGAAAATTTTTGAATTTCATTCTATTAGTATACAAATTGAAATGTGAAATTTCTATTACCTTCCCACGCTTATTTTGTCAAAATTTATCTCCTTGAATAAACCAACAAGGACACAGAAGAGGATCAGAGTGAATAAAAAACTTGCCCCTCAGAATGGCATCACCATCTCTATCTCTCTCTCCCCCCTCCCCCCCCTTTGTCGTTACACTCAGCCTACAGATAACATCTTCACATACCCACCTTTATACTTACGACATATGTACCGTATATGCGTGTGATATTGACTCGTGAAGTTCGGTTTTCAAACTGAGACCAGGAAGATGTTATCTATCTTTTTGGGGTTCTTGATATTGACTCGAGCGGTACTGCTTTATTGGGGTTCTTGAATTGGGAAGTTTTTGACGTCTTCCTTCCATTATTTGATCTTTTTCCGTGATTTATTCGGTAAAGATTTCTGTATTGGGTTCCATGCTAAGTTGGGTACTTGAAATTTCTGTTATTAGAGCTAATTGTCCATCTTTCAATGTAGGTTGTAATTCATAGCATTTGTATGTGCTTTGTTTTGTGGAATTTTTCATTCGATTGTGTATAATAGTAACTTTAGTGTAAAGGCTTCTTTTGCTGAGGTGTTTTGCCAATATGGGTATTTAGGCTTCAACACATACCCACCCTTATACATACGACATATGTACCATATCTGAGTGTAATATTGACTCGTGAAGTTCAGTTTTCAAACTGAGACTAGGAATCCGAGCGGTGCTGCATTATTGGGGTTCTTGAATGGGGAAGTTTTTGACTTATTCCTTCCATTATTTGATCTTTTTGCATGATTTATTCAGTAAAGATTTCTTTATTGGGTTCCATGCTAAGTTGGGTACTTGAAATTTCTGTCATTAGAGCTAATTCTCCATTTTTCAATGTAGATTGTAATTCATAGTATTTGTATGTGCTTTGTTTTGTGGAATTTTCCATTTGATTGTGTCTAATAGTAACTTTGTTGTAAAGGTTTCTTTTGCTGAGGTGTTTGTCAATATGGGGTATTTAGTCTTCAGCACATAACTAGCCAAGAGAAATAGGCTGCAATTTGGTTTGATCAACTGCCCATGACAGCCACAGGCTCCTGCATCATATTTGCAGTGGATAATTTTGGTTAGTAGTGAGAGTGTAAAGACTTCCTTTATGCTTTTTTCCAGTTCCCTTACCTTGATATTAATTTTACGATGTGGGTTGTGAAATTTGATATGTGTGTGAGATTGGGTGTTTAAATGTTGCCTTTTTTTTTATTGATTGTTGATCTTAATTCCATGTCAATTTGTAGGAAAATATATACTGATAGTTTTTCTGTTATTTACATTAATGAGTGTTTTGCAATAGTATGCACTTTGGTTTGATACTTTTAATGATTTTATATTCATGCTGTTTAATTTTTAGTCCGTTTGATATTTTTCTTTGTCTTATCTTTGATGAACTATCTTATCTTAAACCCAGTTCTCAGATTTCTTTATGTTTTCTTTATGCATATGCACAATTGGAATACTTTTCAGTTACCCAGTGTATGCTTATTATAAAATTTTGGTCACGGTTGATTCTCAGTCATGAGAAATTTCTTAAGTTTTTGTTTTAATCTTGTAATAATTTGCTTATTTAATTTTATGTTTGAGGACCTGCCTCAGCAAATTGCTTCATGAAAGTTTTGTACTGTTGCTGTATTATGTCCTTCTCTGTTTCTCTGTCTCTTTCTACTGGGTTCTGGTTTTCTCAGTATCTTGAGGGAAGTGGAGCTCTGTCAGGGGAAGTATGAAAAGGACTGTTGATTAAAATTCTGACTATTCTTTTTAAATTGATGGGGATCTGGGCAGCCTGCTAGTGGAGGAGTCCCCATGTAGGAGATACAATCCTCACTTTTCCCAAACCACCCCCCCCCAAAAAAAAAAAAAATGAAAAAAGAAGAAGTTAAAAGAATATCTTTGGTCAGCTGGAAGGCCTCAAAGAAGCTTTGGTATGGACTGCAAAATTGGTCAGCTTGAATGCAATTCTAATCTTCATATCTACTGGTTGAGATATCAATCCCTTGGTACATAATGATTTGCTCTTTATATTGGACCTTGGCTGATATTCTATGTCTATGTTGGAGGTAGAAATTTTTCGAATTCCTAGAGCGTATTTTAGTTAGTTGGTTCTTTTGTCAAAGAGAGAGGGCAACTTCCAAAATAATTTTCATTTTTTTGGGATATGTTTTTGTTGGGTTGTGAGGTGGTTTGTTTTTAGAGGAATTTCCTCTATCTAACTGTTACTCTTGCTTTCCTCTTAAGCATATATTTTGCTCCTTTTCCACTGGTGTTATCACTATCTTATATATCTAATTTTAATAAAAAAATTACAGTCTGTTTTGGGGTATAATTTATATTATTGTTATCGGATATAAAATTTGCATCGAATTGCATGTTTACAACCGATAAGAGGAGGAGTACTCTTTGGGCTTGTGTTTTTTTGCTATTTTTTGGGTTTTTTGGATTGAAGGAACGCAAGGATTTTTGAGGATAAATGTGAGGACGTTGAGGTTGTTTGGGAGTGGCTTCATTTTTTGGCCTCTTTGTCAAATGAGTTTGATAATATTCCTCTTTTTTGTATTACTCTGAGTTGGATAGGTTCATGTGGAATGTGATTTTATTTTGTTTTTCTTTCCTTTTGTTTTGTATTTTTGTTTTGATTTGTCTTTGGTTTGGACTACTTGTCCACCATTGACTTTCTTTTGTAATTTTATTTTATCTATTATGGTTAATGATATTATCCTTTCCTATCAAAAAAAAAAAAATAGTAATATGGAGTTTTTGCTGATACCTCCTTTGTTGCGACTCCTATGTAAGAGGCTTATTTGGAAGCTTTTTAGGATTAAAGTATGTTGTTCTTGTTTCTGTATATGCATTTCATCTGAGGCAATCTCTATTACGGAAGCTTTCTCATGAGTTTGTTTGCTATTACATATGAAATCATGAAGCCTCATGAAATATCCTTGTGCTATTTTTTTTATTATTATCATATCTCATGGTGACTGTGATGTTGGATCCCTTCCATTGGATGTCAGGTTGGAACTCGAAGTTTTTACCCCTTCTTAGCTGTTTTTGTTTTCTGATGCTCTTATCTTCCAATCATCATGCAGTTATCTGAGAAGAAGATTATGGAAGATAAGTGTGAAATTGCCAAAGATTATGGAACAAGGTTTAGCATCATTTTCATGAACATAGTGCAGTGTCATTAATGATCAAATTAGGTTCTGTGTCTCAAGGGGAACCAATATTGATGACAGTATGAGAGTGTGTGTGTGTGTGTGAGAGAGAGAGAGAGAGAGAGAGAGAGAGTATGTATCCTTGTCTTTTATGTGCTTGGATGCTTTTTTTTTTTTTTTGTGTACAGTCAGGTGTATGGTGTAGAACCAGCCGAAAGTGCTATTCTGAATGGAGAAAAACCAGGTTTTTACAACTTCATGCACCTCTGTATCAACTCTTATTTAACTTCTTCGTGGGTGATTTTGGGTTGAATTCTTTAACATAGAACCGTAGCCTATTGGTCCATGCCCTGGATTAGTCTCATCACAGTTATTAAAATTTACTAAACTCTTGACAATCAACGATTTGGGTACATCGATCGCAAACGGGATAAGATCACGATCAAGATTATCAAAATATGCGACCCCAAATTATCTTATCCCTAAATCAATTCACATTAGAACATGTAGCATAATATAAAATACATATTAATTGACTACGTGTATATATATTTGTAATTATATATTATTTTATATAATAGAAAATTGAGCACAAATGTAAGATAAATAGTAATTGACTTAATGTTTATTGATGTTCTATAATATATAATGTTGTATAGTAATGAACTATTTAGATAAGAGTTTCAAAACGACTTGTGATTCAAAATATCATATTAGTTAGGTCTATCCCTATCGTATTGCGTATTTAATAAAGTGTCGTATTGCGTACAAATACAAGTATTATGTACCAAAACGACCCACGATCCAAGTAATATTGGTTTCTTATTGCTTACACTCTTCCGCCAGGTGACATTTTGCCATCCAACTAAAATCTTTGTCTTCTAATATACGAATCTAAATTTTTTCTTATCAATATTTATTTGATAGTAATATTTTTTCTTTGAACACAATTCTCTCTTCAAACCCAATGATGATTTTGTAGCATGAATTGAGTTGAATCCAATCTATAATTGAAGCAGACTAGAAAATGGCCCATGAATGGAGCATCTGTCTCAATGCACACTCGTAGATATACAAGCAACTATAATTAATGTACACTGAATTATTATCTTACATGCATTAAAATGTGTGTTGAAGTGTGTGCATGTATGTGCAGCTGTGTGTTGGGTTTTTAAAATTTGGGGGAAAAAATATATCCCCATAAGTTTAAACACCTATCTGATTAATTATATAGATTATTTACAATCTCCAGAAATTTGATGGGAGAGTATCGGGGAATATGAATTAGAGTGGTTGAAAGTGTGATTAGAGAAATCAAATGAATAATCATGTGGAAAATAGAAAGATATGAAAATGATTATTTTCTTGAATTATGCAATTGATTATTTGTCTCTTTTTTTTATGTCATTAGTTTAACTATCTGGACCCATAAGTGTTATTATGTATGGCTTGCTATTCAATGAAAAAAACTCTTCTTTTATTTTTCTTCATGGCATCAGAACGGGGCTTTAAGAGCCTTTACGCAAGACTCTTTGTTTCAATTTCAGTGATTTGGTATTGGTTCTTCCAATATTTATGCTAAGTGCACCTTGTTACTCCGCTGATTATTCAGTATAGGTTCTGTTGAGAAAGGTATTATAATATAATTAGAGTTTGTATTTATTGTAATATGTGTATCACCTAAAAGATATACTTTTTTTTTACTTTTTTATTCAATAATTATAAATACAAAATTTTTAATGAGAGGTAAGATAAGACAAAACCTCTATTTGCCTCTCCCGATTTTAAACTTGCTTTTTTTTTTTCTAAATTTAACATGCCTTTTCTCTAAACTTAATATGGTATCAAAATAATTAGGTCTAATTTCTTATTAATCACCTTTTCTTTCCTTCTTTATTTCTTTTCGTTATTATCTTTCTTTTTCCTTTTTTTCTCTTCTCCATTTTTACTGTGTGTGTGAGATCACTTATATGGTTCTACCAGTATATTGGATGGGTTTGCACTGAAAGTGTGGATTTCCCAAGTTGTAGTTTCTGTTGGAAATCAATGGTGTAAGTGGTCGGTGATCGCTTGACAGGTTGTACTTTGGTGGTGGTGTCGCTTGCTGTTCGTGGTAGTCACTGTGGTCTGTGATCGTTTGACTGGTTGTATTGTGGTGGTGGTGTTGTTTGCTGTTTGTTGTCGTTGATATTTGTCATCAGCGATACTTGTGTCATCTGTGTGTGACGTGAAAATAATTTTGCTGTGGTCGTCGTTGGCTGCTGCTGAAGCGGTTGTGGTTGTCGTCGCAGGTAAATGTGGTCATCGTTGCTTGGTTGTGCCACTGTGGGAGGCATTGTTGCAGGCGAGGGTTTCGTTGGAACCCCATCTGTGAATAAGATGAATAGTGCGGGTCAGATCGGATCTTTCATGATTGCGGGCTTAAATAAATTCTAAAGCCCAACAACCCAAGTTCAACCCAGTCTGTTGGCTTGAGTTCAATCCAGCCCAACCCACTTAGTTTGGTTCATCACTATCCAAATCGGTTCATCAAGGTTCAGGTCTGATTCAACCCAGATCAGCACGGTTCAGCGCTGAGTCATCACGGTTTAGCGCCGGTTCAGCCAATCTTAGGCCGGTTTCGATTAGTTTTACATAGGGGTGGTAAATGGGTGGGTTGGGTTAAATTTGATTGGACTAGAATAAATTAAATCCATTTTTAACTCGCATAATAAATGGGTTATAATAGATTGAGTTTATAACGGGTTGAGTTAAACCGATTAAGCCATAAAATAATTAAAATTCTTAATAGATACATAAGTACACCAAAACGTATACACATACACAAACACACTAATACATTAAAACATACAAAAATTAATACATTAAAAATATACGCACTAATACACTAAAAATACACACATATACTAACACAAAAATTAAAACATATTTAATAAAAAAAATAAACACATATTGGGTCGTGGGTCAACCCATGGGTTATAGGTCATGGGTCAACCAATGGGTTATGGGTCAACAACCATGGACCCATGGGTCATGGGTGGTGTATTAGTGTGTGTGTTTTTTGTGTACTAGTGTGTGTATATTTTGGTGTATTAGTGTATATGTGTATATTTTTTAATGTAATAGTGTGTGTATTTTTTGGTATATTAGTATATTTATTTAATTTTATTACTTGTGTTATTTAATAAAAAGATAACTACTCAACCTAATGGGTACCCATTTGTAATCAATATTAACATGTTTAATTTTAATTAATTTAGGTACCCAACTCATTTAAAACCCACATTAATTAATATAGGTACTTAACCCATTTATTTATGGGCAAGTTGGACAGATTAATGGGTAATGGATTAAAATTGTCATATCTAGTTTTGCAACGTTCACCACCTATTCAAGCACGACTGAGCCTGATTCATCATGGTTCAGGCGTGAGTACACCTGGTTTAGTCCTGTCCAGGCTTGCAATAGCTGGTTCACTTCCAGTTCAACACTGTCCAGCCTTCCCTCAGCTGGTTCTTCTCTGGTTCAGCCTACCTTAGGCCGGTTCAGGTCTGTTCCGCATGGTTTGGTTCCTGTTCAGCATGTTTTAGATTTGTTTTACCTTCTTTAAGTGACTTTGGGCTGGTTTTGAGATTTGTTTGGATTCAAATCACACTTGGGTGGCTAGTTGTGAGTTCCATATCTCTCTTGAACCATATTCTTTATGTCATATGACTATGGAACCCAAGAATTATGATCCGTTTGTCGTTACTTCTTCTTTGCCACCAAGTTTGTCTCCTACTGTTCTCCTTAACGGTTCAATGACCTTTGTTAAGCTTAATGAGACCAATTATATTCCGTGGTCACGATCTGTTTAAGTATTTCTTAAAGGTAATGGTTTTTAGAAATATTTAGTGGACCTTGAACTCAAGGAAGACACTCTTGGGTATGATCAGTAGGAACATACAGATGCTCAGATTATTTTATTATTATTGAATAGTATTGTGGCTAGTATTTGTTTCACTTTATTTTATCTTGACACGACCAAAGAATTTGGAATCACTTGACTATTATGTATTCAGGCAAAAGTAATTTTACTTATGCTTATGAGGTATGTCAACAACATTTTCATCTAGGCCAAGGAAATTTGAGTCTTGCATATTATTATTCTCATTTTAAGGGAGTTTGTGAGGAATTGAAGTTTTACCACCTTTGCACTACTGATGCAGTAGTTTGATAGAAACAACATGAGGATATGAATATTGTTCATTTTTTTGATGGGTTTGAAACTTGAATATGAGTCTATTCGCTCTCAGATTTTGGGTAGTTCTAGCCTACCATCTCTACTTGAGGTTTTCTCTCGTTTACAACAGCTTACCTCTTGACCGCTCAGCTCTTGTTGTTCCCAATGGCCATAGTGATAGCACTTGAGGTAGCCGTGGTGGTCGTGGGGGTCGGGGCAATCGCACTAGAGGCCGTTGGAGGTCATGGTGGTTGACACGATTCTTGTTTGTGCATTCATTGTAGTAGTGGAGGTCACATTGTTGATTATTATTGGGATTTATATGACAAGCCTTCAGGCGCTACTAATCAAGTCTCCTATCTGGATGACACTTCCTCCCTATCACAGTCGGCTCCACCTGATTCTGGGTTTGTTACTCTTACACGTGAGAAGTATGCTCAGTTTCTGTCTCAACAGTAGGTTGTTTCATCCTCCTCCACTGTCACTTTTGCTCTGTCAGGTACCGCTTCCACTTGTTTATTGTTCTTCACTCATAGCTCTTGGATCATAGACTCTGACGCCTCTGATCACATGATTGGTTTGTGTAGTGTCTTTTCTACTTATCAGCCTGTTAATTCCCCACACAGTGTTACTCTTGCTAGTGGTACTTCTTCTAAAGTTTCAAGTTTAGGGACCACTCAATTGAGTACTGATATGTCTTTATCATCTATTTTATTTGTTATGTAGTTTTCCTTTAGCTTGTTGTCTATTAGCAAAATTACCCACTCTCTTAATTGTTTTGTAACTTTTTACCCTTCGTATTGTGTTATTTAGGATCTCTAGACAAAGAGGAAGATTGGTACGGGGCATGAAGCTGGTGGTCTCTATTATTTTGACTTTGATACTCCTCCTCAAGCCATGCAAACCTCGTCATCTCCCTTCCAATGACACTTTCGTCTTGGTCATCCTTCTCTCTAGAATCTAAAGCGCCAAGTTTCTAGTCTTAGTCATGTGTCGTCTGTGCCTTGTGAAGCTTGTCAACTAAGTAAGCAACATCACGTTTCCTTTCAGTCTAGATTCAATAACTGTGTATCTAGTCCATTTGAATTAGTCTATTATGATGTATGGGGTCCAATAAAAAATATTTCATCTAATAATTTTTTTTATTTTGTGTCTTTTGTGGATGATTATTTTCGTATGACTTAGTTATTTCTTATGAAAGCCCATTTTGAATTATTCTCTATATTTGAGACATTTTGTAAAGAAGTAAAAACCCAATATGGTTGTCGTTTTCATGTTATACGTCTTGATAATGCTAGAGAATATGAATTTGATCCTTTTTCATCTTATCTTCGTAAAACTGACATTATTCCTCAGACATCGTGTGCCTATACCTCTTAGTAGAATGGTGCTGCTGAGCGTAAGAACCAACATCTGTTAAAAGTTACTCGTGCATTATTATTCCACATGCATTTACCTCATGTTTTTTGGAGTGATGCTGTCCTTACAGCATGTCACCTCATTAACCGCATGCCATCTTTTGTGTTAAATGGGTAAAGTCCATATTTTGTTATTGTACCTCAGACTCCCTTATTCTCCCTACCTCCTAAAGTTTTTAGGTATGTTTGTTATGTTCATAACTTGGGGCTTGAGTTTGATAAACTTGACCCTTGTGCTACTAAGTGTGTCTTTCTTGGATACTCTCGCACACAAAAGGGGTATCGCTACTGTAGTCCCACTTTTCGTCGGTACTTCACCAGTGCTAATGTCATTTTTAATGAAGTTGTTTCATATTTCTCGACTCTTGAGCGGCCTTTGGATCTTGACTTTGGGTTTTCTACTCCACCAACACCCTTTCTCTTATCGTAGCCTACTCCACTGCCTATTGTGTTACCATATCTTTTTCCCTGGGTCTGTGTATACTCCTGCCATGTGCGGCTGTCAACTGAAGTGCCCCTGTCGCTTTCCTTGCTGTTTCTTGATCCAAATTCCTCATGTAATTCCGACTCTTTATCGATTGCTCTTTGGAAAGGTACTCGAACATGTGTTACTAACCATCCCATTAGTAATTTTGTTTCTTATGATGCCTTGTCTCCTACCTTTATTTGCTTTATCTTGCAACTGTCAACTATCTCTATTCCTAAGACCCTATGGGGTGTCTTGTCTGATCCGAATTGGAGGAAAGCTATGGAAGTGGAGATAGATGCCATACATCATAATGGGACTTGAGATCTTGTTCCCTTACCGCCTGAAAAACGGACTATTGGTTGTCGATAGGTATACATTGTTAAGTTTAATCCAGATACTTTTGTTGAGCATCTCAAATTCTAACTTGTTGCTAAAAGTTTCACTCAAACCTATGGTGTTGATTATGTAGAGACATTCTCTCCTGCTGCCAAAATCTCCTTTTTTTTTTCATGTTTTAATTTCTTTGGCTACTAATCTTGATTGAGTTTGATGCCAAGAATGCCTTCTTACATGGTGACTTGGCTAAGGAGGTTTACATGGAGCAGCCACCTGAGTTTCTTGCTCAGGGGAGGACTGTAAGAGTGTGTGTCAACTAAAGAAATCTTTGTACAGTTTGAAGCAGTCACCAAGAGTATGGTTTGATAAATTCTCAGATGCAGTAGTAGAGTTTGGTCTTCTTTGATGTCAAACAGATCACTTTGTCTTTCACAGACAGACAGACAGATGTAGGGTAAGGGTACAACTTGGGTTGGGCAACCTGAGCCCAACCCGAAAAAATTAGGGTTTGGGCAAGCGTTTTTAATACCTGGGTCAAAAATTTTTAACTCGAATTCAATTTGTGCGGGCTTCGGGTTGACCCCTCGAGTTCACGGGTTGAACCCGAATATCAAAATCGGGCTCAACTCGAATTAATAATCGGGTTCAACCCAAATTACTATTATATAAATATAATTTTTGAATGTTATGTAATATATTTGAATGTTATGTTTGTTTTCTGTTAAACTGGTTGTTGGTTGTTAAATTATGTAATATATTTGTTTTATATTTGAAGTTGTTGGTTGTTAAATTATTTGAATATTATGTAATATATATCAGGTTTAGAATATTAACCCAAAATCAGCCCGTAAAGTAACCCAAAATCAGCTCGAAATCATTAACCCAAATTCAACCCGAGCCTGCCCTAATTAAATTCGAGTAGTGCTTGGGTTGAGTTTATCAACCCGAGGTAGGGTTAGGGTTAGGTTTAGGGTTGAAGATTATATACCTAGGGTTGGACTGAGGTTGATTGTCTAATCCGCCCGAGTTGTACTCCTAATGTAGGGTAAACTCTATTGGTTGTTTATGTTGATGATATTCGTAATCACTAGTAATAATTCCAAGAGTATTACTCAGTTAAAAGCATTTATGCAAGATAAATTTCATATGAAGGATCTGGGAGAACTCTGTTATTTTTTGGGTATTGAAGTTGCTAGATCTCAACAGGGTATTTGTTTGTCCCAAAAGAAATATGTACTCGACATGCTAGAAGTAGGTTTGCTGGATGGTAGACCAATTGATGTTCCTATGGATCCAAATCAGAAGTTGTTGGTGGATGATAGTGCACCGTTTGATAATCCAGGTCAGTACAACAAGTTGGTTGGGAGCTTAATTATCTCACTATTACCTGACCAGATATTGTAGATGCAGTCACTATGGTAAGTCAATTTATGGGATGTCCTAGAATACCACATTGGGATGCAGTCATTCGTATTCTTTGATATCTTAAATGTACTCCTGGTCTTGGATTGCTATATCGAGCTAATGGACATCTTTGAGTGAAAGATTTTTTGAATACTGATTGGATTGGTTCTCCCTCTTATCGGCGATCAACCACTGGTTATTGCACTTTCTTAGGAGGTAATGTTGTTTCATGGAAAAGTAAGAAGCAAATAGTTGTAGCACAATCCAGTGCTGAGGCGGAGTATAGAGTGATGACACATACAACTAGTGAGTTAACTTGATTACTACATTTTATTTGGAAAATTGATTTTTCTGTTCAACTTCCTTTACAATTATTTTGTGATAATCAGACAACTCTTCATATTGCTGCCAACTTAGTGTTTCATGAGAGAACCAAACATGTTAAAGTTGATTGTCATTTTATTCGAGACAAGATACTGAATGGTGATATTGTAACTCTGTTTGTGAGATCTGAGGCTCAACATATAGACATGTTCACCAAAGTATTGAGTCGTACACGTTTTGCTGCTATTTGTTCTAAGCTTGGATTATATAATATCTATAGTTCAATTTGAGGGGGGGGGGGGAGTGTTGAGAAAGCTACAATAATATAATTAGGGTTTACATTTATTGTAATGTGTATACCACGCA